CTTATCAGCCTTGTGGTACGTTGTAATGTACCTCCTTTGCGGAAACTACCGAAATATACCTGTAACCTGTTATTTTTTATAAGCTTTTTTAAAATGGTAAACCGTGATGGTAAACCGTGGCCAAGAGCATTTTTCCAATCCAATTCAACTCTATCACTTTTTATTACGTAAGCAATGGACGTTATCCAGAACTTTGAACAACAATACTAATTAGTCAGTTATAAAGGGCTTTTTGAAAATTTTTGCTGATAAACAATAAGCAATAAATTCAGATGAACTGCTAGTATGAGTATTTAAAATAATCTTCAAACACGCAGCTTACGGAGGAGCTGCCAAACACTACAGAGAAACAAATCCATAGAGAACAAAAGCAATTTCAAAGCTGCAGTTCAAATTTTATGATACATAAGTTAGAAACTTTCATACAAAAAAACACTTTTAAGTTTTTTTGAATTAGTATTTAGTTCTATATCCATCATTTATGGCTAGAGTGCTCAAACGATCATGCATGCTTCGAATAGTTCTATCTATAACAGTTACATCAAAGTCACTAAATGCCTGCAAAACTCTTCCTTTAAAAGTCTGAAAGTCCTCTTTCACGATTTTTCCTCTCAACGCCTCCTGTCGCAAATTACATTTTATATTATTAAATAAATTTTCAATAGGATTCAAGTCCGGTGATCTTGCTGGTATCTCAACAAGTTCAGCACCCACTTCTTCTAAAGCATCGCTTGCCAATTTGCTCCTTTGACTGGGGTCATTGTCCATAACGAATAACAGTTTTTCCTTCTTTTTCATCGCTGCACATTCTCTGAGAGTGCTGTCCAATGTCTCATGCACCAATTTTGCGAACCACCGGGCGTTCATCTTCTCGTACTCCTCCGCAACAACAACCCCTGCCGAATAGGAAACACCAACCAACAAATGTAGTGTACGCCCTCCAGGCAAGTTCTTCGATCCTTTACTTGTAAACACAAGGCCCTCTTTTTTGTTCTCCACACTCGTCCCCTTGGGCACAAAGCGTCGTTATACGGATTTTGTTTGTGATGGAATGAAACTCCGTCCAGATACATCAAAACATCGTCCGTCCAAAAATTTCTGTCATGTTTCTTTAAAGCATCCCTGGCATATGATACTCTCTTCCTCCTATCCTTAGCTGACAGTATACCCTTCTTTCTAGGATTCAGAAACCTATATCCAGCATCATGCAGAGCTCGTACCAAAGTCCTGTAGCTAACATGTGTGATCTGGCATTCCTTTGCTACATCCATCACTCTGACGTTTCCATTTGTTTCTCGCATCTTCTTGAAAGTCCTAAGAAACCTTGCCTTGTCTCTTTGCTCATCAGTGGTGGTCTACCTGTCCTCTTATTCTCTTGTTTAGTTGAAGGCCCCTCCTTACAAATACGGACCACACTTGAAACAGAAATCTTGCAATGTTCCGCTATTTTTCGAAACGACAAAGACCTTCCCTTTCGCAAGTAGCAAGCCAACGCTCTCTCTCTGTCGCTAATTTTGCTATGAAACACCATGTTTGTTAAAGAGCAACTCAACAACTGCTTTTGATACTATAGTCAATTTCGTTTTTATTTCTTAGCTTATCGTTTAATTATACAACACCGACACAGTGAGAAACAGGAAGGTTTCCGCCATTGACATTCCAAAAATTCTATCTTGGAGACATTTTCACACGTACATGTGCTTTGAACAGCAATTGCAATACTTAATTTTCCTGTTTTTCATCTTTTGTTTTTTCCCTTGCAAGTCTGGTGAATTTTCAATATCTAATTTCGAAAAAAACAGAGCAGAATTTGAAGAATTCAAGTAAACAAGTGAATAATAATCATAATATCTCTAAAATTCGAAAAATAGCTAAATTAGGCCAATTCCATTTTAAATATCAAATTTTTTTCGACGCCAATGAAATCAGCGCTACCAAGAACCCCTACCCCCATAACATTGATTTTCATGCAACTAACGGTTTAAAAAAAGCGCTCAGACAATCCTTGCCAAAAGTCTTGGTACACCAAGCTAAAATTTCGCATAAATTCAGTAGCATCCCCCTCTCCCCCTTGAAACAATGTTGAATAACAACAGTTTCAAAGCTTGAAATTCGTCCAATGTCAGTTTATCAGCTAGGGTAAGTAATAGTCTTTTCAGCCAACATTGTTTTTGGGGGGAGGGGGGATATATCTGTATCTTACAGCCGGAAACCTTTATTTCTTCAAAATCTTTCATTGGTCACAGGGTGTTCCAAGGACTTTTGTCAAGGATTGTATGTTGGTATGTTATCAACTGGAGCGCGCACTGGATTTAAATCGAGACAGGGGGTGAAATTCAGCAGACTTTCCCCGGAACACAAGGTGGCACCAAAATTTTGCGCCATGGGAAACTGCGCCATGGGATTTTTGCGCTATCAAATAGACAGACAAATATGCGCCATGGGAACATGCAAAAGTCTTTAAATCATATCAAATTACAATCAAGCACCACAGCAATTAAGGCCCTCACACTCACCTAGCCCGGACCCAACGGCAGAAAATCGATAATACAGGAAATTTACCTTGCAAATCGGATATTTTCGCATAAAAAGCATAATTTTCATCTTTATTTGATATAAAACGTATTCAGGGCCCACACCACCGAGAGGGCAGGGTGGCCATGCCCCCCAGTTTTTTGTGAAGCAAGCAAAAGTGAAAGTAGCCTTGGCCCCCCACTTTCACTAGCCTTGGCCCCCCACTTTCAAATTCGCGGCGTGGGCCCTGTTATTGATACAGCGTTGAAAACCTTGTTTACAATTGGCCTTGTGCAAAAAGAAAGAATTAAAACCTAATTCCACTATAAGCCTAATTTAATCATGTAGATTGTTGATAGACAATCTAATGCAAATTAAAAAAGAAATGACATAAAGTAACTTGAAACTCATTGTGCCTGCCAAGTCACTCAAAAACTTTCATGCTACCCGAAACTGTTACTAAGCAGAAGATAACATTTAATGTTGTAAACCACAGCATGATTCTTGATGAGCTTCAACACTGTAGAGCTCGCGTAGAGTTGCCTTTGATGGCTGGAGTCAATTGAAGTTTGTGGAGTACGAAAAAGGGGTCTGCGCCACGAATATGAAAGTGCAAGCATCGTGGAGCGTTGAGAAAAGTGGGGGGTCTAAAAAAGTGGGGGGGGGGCTAAAACCGTATAAAAAGAGGCTTTACTGGTAGTTTATTACTTAGTGTTTGTCATTTCTTGCTAAAAGTCCCCCAGCCCCCTGCTCCGCGGTGCCTGAAATGGCAGGGCCAGGCTAAAATGTAGGGGGCCAAGGCTTTTTACCCCCTTTACTGCAGATTTAAAACTACTTGCTTCGCAAAAAGTGGGGTGGGGGGACCAACGCCTTGTGCATGTCTCAATTTCTTCTTGATTTACATTCATGACTTTCCTAAACAGAGTTCGATGGAACGATTATCATTGAATATGGAAGAAAAAGTTTTCATTATTTTTTTCCTCCTCAGTATTCTGCTTCTGATTTTCTTGAAATAAAAATAAGATACCAACTAAAAAGGTTTAACTAATTATATCAAGATTTCTATTGAGTTTTTATTGATAAAAATTCAGGTTGAAAGCTTCGTCTGAATGAACTTTCCAAGAAATTTGTAAGATTCTTCATTAAAGACACTTTCAGGGCCCGCGCCACAGGGGGGGGGAGCATGGCCCCTAACTTTTCTTGCTAACTATAGGTATTAAATCCCCCTTTTAAGTATTAAAAAGGCAACTTTTCTGATTTCCGTCATCTTCCATCTCCCCTGACCTGAAAATGCTGAAGCTTGGTTAAAGATTTATTTCAACTTTGCTTTGTTTATGAATGTTTTCTGTAGCTAACGATTTTTAAAAAATAAAAATGATACTGAATCAGTGGCTGATACTGAAACTGTTCATCATAAATGAATGTTAAAAGCTTCTAAAAATGGACTCTTTATCAGCAAATATTCGAGCTTGGTCTTTGATCCGTACAATTTTGGGGTGCAAAATCATTGAGCAACATTCCCTATTTTCTAGCAACAAATTCATTGCTTCCGTGAGATACTCAAGGCATTTCTCTCAGCTGCTCTTTGTATAGCTTTAAAAAGACTTCCCAACACTGTAATCATTAAAAAACTAAGAAATTTAATTACTTGGTGCGTTCTTTGATTTAAACCCGGGATGTTCCCTCCTTAATTACTTTAGCTACTTATTGAGGGAGTTCGGAGCTTCTCCTCTCAATTATTCCAAACATACTTATATATATCTTCCCCATTTTTAATTTTTGCTAATTAGTTGTTTGGTTATTACCCTGTCGCCTTACATGTTGCGTTCAATTGTAAAGTTGGCTTTTAATGCTAATCTCTTAAGAATTCGAAGCATGAAACGGTGCATTTAGAAATGGGTATATAATCCTTCTTTTGATCCAAAAAATGTTCGAAGAAATTTTTACATCACAAGAAAATGAGTATATAAGAAAAAAACATCAAACATAACAAGATATATATTCTCAACATGACTTGTTTTTGCGAGGTTCTTGAGGGCGTGTGTTTTGATTAAGAAAAGGAGAAGCAAATATTTGGTGCATAATTTTCTTCCAAAAGAAACATCATTTCTATCTATCTATCTATCTACCACTGTATTATACATAGACTATTTGTCGGCATTACCTGGTGTCTCTAGCTTACGAAAATTACAAAATTAATAAATAACATTGGTATGCAGGGACGAAATTGACGTATTTCATCATCTTCGGAAAAATCATCACAAATTATTATGTGTTATTATGCTCCTACCATAAGAACCGTTTGTCATCCCAAAGCTTTAAGAAAATTTAAGCTAGTATCAGATTCTAAAGATACAATCAAGGATAAAAAGATATCTTGAAATCAAAACGAGCGGGCGTTCCCCGGCGATTTTAAGCCAATCAGAAACTTTTTCATAGACGTGTGGCCTCATCAGAATGACCTTTGAATGTTGCTGCGGTTGCGTGGATTGTCCCTTGGCCTAAGACGGCTTTCGACGTGCACAGTTTAACGAGGCAAGGACACGTCGTTGGAATACTTTCTTGTTTGACAGTCAGTTTACATAAAATGGCAAGAGATCCTGGCAAATCGAGATTCATTCTTATGCCTGTTGATGGATCTGACCACAGCAACAGAGCTTTCGATTGGTATTTGAAACAAATGTACAAGGAAGGCGACCATGTTGGCATCCTTAACATCGTGGAGCCTCCGAAAGTTCCTGCTTCCTTTATGGTGATGGGACCGCTTGTAACTCCAGATGAATGGCATAAGCAGCTTCATGAAAATGTCGAGAAGTCAAAGAAAATAGCCGACGAGTACAAAAAAATGTGCGAGAAGGCTGGTGTGCAGTGTTCGGTGTTTGTGGAGGGGACAGAGGACAGTCCTGGCGAGAAGATTTGCCAAGTTGTGAAAGACAAACAAGCAGATGGTGTTGTTATGGGCTCTCGTGGGATGAATCTCCTTCGCAGAACTTTCCTTGGTAGTGTCAGCTCCTACGTGATGAACCATGCTCACGTCCCTGTTGTGGTTACCCCACCCAAGGCTGAAGAAGGGTCTTAGCAAAGACAGCAAGGACACATATAGGACGTCACAGCTTATCTGAACCACTAATGGTTAATATTTTAGAGACTTCGGGACATTGTCCTGAGTATTTTGGGACTCTTTCTTTCAAGATTCCATAGAGAAATTATAAATTCTACATTCTTCTTGAATTGGTGGGATTTTTCATTTTTCTATCTAGAGTTCATAATTTTCTACATTTACGTGCATCTATATAAAGGAGCATTGGTTGTGGTGTAACACAGTTTGGAGCATCTTAGTTCTGTAACTAAGGGCCCCCAAATCAAAAGGGCCGAAAATATGTTCATACCCATGTTTTGAGGCATGCAACTCACCCCCCCTCTAGTTAACAAGAAAAATTATCAATTTCACATCTTGCTTTGACATGCTCTACACCATTAGAAAGGACCTTGCTTTGACATGCTCAACACCCAATGGCCCTGGCTGCCATCGTTAAGCCACTGATCATTGGTTCCAAATGTAACTGATATTTTTTATAAAACTTTGTATACTATAATTCAAAAGATTATTTTGCCATTCGTGTAACATGTTAGGAAATCCAGGCAAATCTAGCTAGAGTTTGCACATTATTTCCAACTAAGGCAGGGTTTGAAAAGACTAGGCTCTGTTCAAACTGAATGAAA